GCACAACTGCCACTAGATGGCACTGAGGTGCATAAGAATGTCCTATGCTCCTCAGCGCCATCTAGTGGCAGTATTGACATGTGAACTGCATTTGCCCAGCTGTACGCTGGGCAGAAAATGTATAAATCAGCACTTTAGTGTTGCATTGTTATTTAGGCTGAATACACAATAATTGCTTGGCTTTCCTGGCAACATGCAACTTTATCTATTTCATAAAAATAAAGAATCTAATTTGCACTGCCAAATTGTATCCCTAATAGTGATTGATAATACCATTTTTTTTAAATATTTATTTTTGGAGGAACAAAGAGGAGGTACAAAGACAAAAAATAACCAATGCTCATCAATAGGACAAAAAAACTCAACAAAGGAGATTTACAAAAACCAAATACCATCAATACAAGGGGAGGGGTTTTCCGGCGGCAGCCAGGCAATGCTATAGAATCCCAGACCAACATAGACAAAGAAAGAAATACAAACAGTATGGAAATGCTCATATCTGAATTGGAGAGCCAGCAGATAATATTTTAATAGTGTAGTAGGAAGTTAAGGCAAAACATTGCATACGTTTTTTTTCAGTGAGACCGGCAAGGTATCAATATAGGAGTCCCAAACTAAATTTTTATGCTCTCGATTCCTTCTGAAGGTTCATTTCAATCCAGTCCATTTGGAAAAAGGTGGAATCTGGGTATATCTGTTGATGTAATATAGCTTTCTTTCCCACTAATGACATAACTGCCTGCAGCATAATTTCCTGCAGCCCGAGTTGATCTTGGTCCCGTGTAGTTGTACCACATATTGCCCAAGACGGTGATAAAGGCACATCATTTACCAAAAAGAGTTGTGCAAAATTTGACACTTGTTTACAAAAAGATTTGATGTGAGAGTAAGCCAAAAAACCATGATATAAATCTGCAGGTTTATGACCACACTTGAGACATGCTGATGAAGAGCTAAGGCCCGTAAGAAAGGATATATGGAGGGAATGATAGGCACCTGGATAGAGCTTAAGCACCATTTCCCTGTGGGTGGAGGCAGTTATTGTATTCCTAGCTCCATGAAGAATTTCTGCAGTAGACATATCGGGAAAATAATTGATCCATTCAATAGACCAGTAGTACGTACACTATAATCCGAGTGTGGTCTATAACACGCATAGGCTTGAGGGATAGCACCTATGGATGGATTTGGTTCCCATAACAATTTGTCTAGGTGATTATCCCAAATCCACCGCAGAAAATTTCTTAAGAATGTTCCGAACATAGGAACGCATTTGTAAGTATGTAAAAAGCTTAAAAATTGGGAAATTCTTGAAGCAGCTTGAAAAGTAAGCAGTTTACATGTAGTAATATTAACAAGGAACCACACCGTTGCAAGCCCATGTTGCGCCCAATTTTTCAATAGCTCTGACCTAAGGTGACTATTCATTGTGAAGCTTGTGCCAAACAATCAGACAAAAATTAAGTCGGGGGTTAGAGATCACCTTGGACGGCAAAAAGCATATAACAAATGAAGGTCAGGTATAGCATTCTGTTCTTGATCAGTGTCTGTATGAATACTAGTGCCATGAATTCAATCCCTCAGGTAACGAGTCACAGCAGCATAAGAGTATAACTCCAGATCCGGAAAATTCAATCCACCATATTTAATAGGATGCGGCAAAATAGATCTTGGCTTGCCTTCCTGCCCAAATGAAATGTCAAAACTTCTGGGTGAGCATTTTAAGATCTGAATGTCAAAATAAAGCGCGGAAAGTTTGCAGTACATACAGTAATTTGGAAGCAGCATGATAGTGCCATTTTTAAAAAGATTTGGACCAGTTTTGATTTTAAAAGTTTGAAAGAATAGATGTTTTCTCTTACTGGAGCTTGGTTAAATCCATTTATCCATATTACTTACGGTACATTTCCAGATGTTATTGATTTCCTGCACACACAGGAAGTGAAATCATTAATTTGCATAAAAAACAGGAAGTGGGGTGCAGGAGATCTAAACCTCCCATCGATTTGTTTCTTTGCACTATCATGTGTTGAGAAATGTGAGTGGCAGGAAACACTTTGTTGGATTTACCTCATACCTCTCTATAACATGCATTGCCTCATGCCTCTATTACACACAGTGGGCTGAATGCGAATGCAAAGGCGGCCATGCCAAGCAATCATATCGCAAAACATGCCAAAAACCACACCCCGGCGCATTTATAAACTGGAGATGCGAATATTTAAATACGTCAGAGGCAAATAGAAATACCCCAAATTCACATACTTACATGTCATGGAGCGTTGGCGTGGAGTAATACGCCAACCCGATAGAGGTGTGTTAAGTGTAAAAAGACTGTTTAGCGCAAGAAATCTTATGGAAAACCTTTAAAAATGATATCAATATATAGGTAACATAACTATGTATCACCAATCTTCAGAAGCCATAGTTATATCAAAAGTACAAGTAAAAGACCAATACCTTGTAGAGCGCTGGATGAACAGCAGTCTGGAGGACAATGGTGTGTTACTTGATTTCTACGGCAAATGTTCTTTTCTATGACCAAGAAAATGCCTGAGATATTGGCGCATTGGATTGCAGACAGCACTCTCCGCCCATGAAACCATGCTCACAGCCGATAGGGCATTTACTATTGGAAATGTCCATATTTTTAAGAATATTTACAAATTACTGCATGCAGCGATTGTTTTTAAGATCTTGAATTAGCTTACAGAGATCACCATTATTAACACCTTTACTTTATATAATGTATCATTTGTTTATATGACAACTGAAAAGAAAATGCACTGGATCGCATTGCGGCCGCCTCACTTTGTTGTGGGGCGGGAGGGGGTGTGGCGGTGCATTAAAGTGAATGGCAGCGGAGCCACGCCCTCCGGTCGTAATGTGATCGGTCGCACAGGAACGCATGGCACATCAATGCCTGCGATCTGGTCCAGTCAGAAAAAATGCTGCAAGCACTATTTTTTCTGACCGGACCAGAACACAGGCATTGATATGTCACATGTTCCCGTGCGGCAGAGGGGCGGGGCTCCGGTGCCATTCACTTCAATGCACCGTCACGCCCCAGAACAAAGTGAGCCGGCTGCAATGAGATCCAGCACTGTGGCTGGTGTGAACTAGCCCTAAGGGAGAATGTAACATTCTGATGATACTATATCATAGCTTTCTCTTATCTGATGTGACTTTTGTTCAAATGTGTCTTTACTCATATGGCAATGTATTTAGTATGTTTAGAGATCGCCATTTCATAATTGTTAAACCATTACATGCCCTTTCCATGTTCTTTTCTTATAACTAAGAGGTATTCTGCATATTTAGCATTTGTTATTATTGTTGTTGTTTTATGGCTGTGGGGTTGTGCTCAGGATGCTACTATAGTTGGGGGTTTAAATGGCCATGTTCCCGTGTTCATTTCATCCAACAGTTTAGCCTCATCTGAGTCAATTGGTGTTCCTTTGTGATACCCATAATCTGATGCTGGCAAGCTATGGACATGTATGTATGATTTCTTCTATGTGCTATCACGATACTGTAATGTTCTTTGACGACATGCCTAACAAGCTGAATAGAATGCTTAGCTCTCTTTTTTGTTTTTATTTTAATGATATAATAAAAAAATACATACAGGTGAAACTCAAATAATTAGAATATCGTGCAAAAGTAATTGCAGTAAGTGCTGCAAAAGGGGCCCAAACCAAGTACTGAGTACATATGCATGCTTGTACTTTTCAGAGGTCCGATATTGTTCTATGTACAATCCTTGTTTTATTGATTGCGTGTAATAATCTACTTTTTGAGGTTGTGGATTTGGGGTTCTTGGGGTTTTCCTGAGCTGTAAGCCATTATCATCACAATTATGACAAATCATGGTTTGAATTATCTTGCTTTGCATGTAATGAGTCTATCTCATATATTCGTTTCACCTTTTAAGTTGCATTAGTGAAATAAATGAACTTTGCACGATATTCTAATTATTCGAGTTTCACCTGTATATATTAATAAATGATACATTTATGTATATATTGTTTTGTGTATTTGTTGCCCCGTTTTCATTTTTTAAAATTGTTTAGGGTTCCATGACCGAAAAGGCCAGTTATTCCGTGCTGCTCCTCAAGGATTCTCTGGAATGTTTGACTCTGAAGGTAGCACTGTATTTTGTTCACTGTTATTTGGGGGGGATATGGCATTATTAACGTGTTGGCTTTATATGAGGAGGTTTCTACATTTCTACTTCATATTGTTTGTTGACCCAAATGCATAATTACAAAAGGTCGGCCGCTGTAAACTCAGGTTGACACTGGTTTTGAAGAAGGAGTCTTGGCCCCGGAAACATGTCAGCCTGAGCTTACAGTGGCCGGCTTTGTGATAGGAGCGAGTGGCGGCTGCTGCTACCATTATGCTGGGAACATGTTGAACTTATGATTGTCCTCAGTGGAGATGTTGCAGATGTAATGGAATGGTCACAGAGATGTACATCATACTCTTGTGAGTATATCTCATGGCTTTTAATTCACTTTTTAATTCATAAATTACACTTAGAGGTGGCGCTCTGTGTTTATGTTTTTTGTTTGCATGACTGATGGGAATCCCTGACCGTATGAGGAGCAGCCCCCTAAAGGTTTTACCAGTGTGACATGGCTGGAGGACCGCAGAGGCTCTACTAGCGCCCAGATCAAGAGAACATAGGTAGTTTAATCTACCTGGCCTAATATGTTGCGATATATACATGCATTAGATCTGAAATCAGCCCACATAGCTTTAATTTTCAAAACTTAATAGATTGTAATATACTGCAACGTGCAGCCAGTTCTCTTGAACTTCACCACTACTGCTAAGGTCAGGCCTAACAAAGTCCAAATCCAAAGCAGCAATTTCAAAGTACGGACTGAAGGAATGGGTTCACATTTGCTAGTTTAAGGCATAGTTTAAAATAAATCTTTATTTACAAGGCATATTTTACAGTATTGTATAAAAGTGCAATACCAGTACACGTATGATTACATACTCTGGGTCTTATTCAAACGATGTTGACGATCTCTTTGTGTTCTATTATTGCTATTATCTTCTAATTCTTTCATGTCAGGTCTTGTTAATGAAAGTCTGTGACAGATTTCATTGCACTCTGTATGCTGACAACTGAAAAACATGTATATCCCTTTATTTCCAAAATTTGTACAGGTGGCGCCTGGTGTATCCTTAGCTGAATGGATCTGAGGATCAGTGAGGTAGATAAGGGCTTCTCCTTCCTTACTTCCGGTAACCCAACCTGTAAAAGAACATTGTTTTTTTAATAGAAACATGCTGAAATATTTCTTAAAATGACTGAGAGGTCAGTGTACTCTATATTTCTATGTTATACTTTCAGATCGAAACCTTCTACAAACATTTTATCACTATATTTATTAAGAGAAAAAGAGGAATGGTTTCACTGCAGTTGCTTGTCCTGCTTCCATTCGGTGGGATAATAAGGTTGCAGGTAAGAGCCACTAGAGAGAAGATTCAACAGGATTCTTGGAAAGTGGCTACCAGTCCCAGCGTGGCACATAGGAAATTTGCAGTACACACATTTGCAGTACCATTTTTTTTAAACAGAAACCTAGAAATGAACAGACAGAATTTGTAACACAGCACAGAGAATGCGCAAAGTTCGGTGAACCACAGTCATCTTTCTGTGTCTCCTAGAACCTGACATTTCACTTGTTGACATGGGAAACAACGCATTGCACATTATTATTTCTGTAAGCACTGCTTCACTAAAAAACAATAAAAAGCTACAAACCTCATCGCTTCTCGGCCTTTTGGCTAAGATCAAGTGTAGTATCTGTTCTTATCAGTTTAATATCTGATACGTCCCCTATCTGGGGACCATATATTAAATGGATTTTTAGAACAGGGAGATGGAAGAAGAGCTTGCTCTGTCCACTCCATGCATCGACCTGGTATTGCAGTATCTCCAGGACCGGTGCACCAAAAAAAAAAAAAGCTACAAACCTCACTCATGTTTTACATCATAGAAGGTATTTAGTGCAACATTAGTGCAGTGCATGAGTTGAGTGCAGAAGAAGGTGAATGTTTGCAAAGAAGCAATTACTGGTTTAAAGAAAAACTACACCCATCCTATCCTTTACAGCCAAGCAAGGTGCCACGTTAGCCTCTATTTGGATTGCAGTTGCCATGGTGTTGCACATGTGATCAGCTATGACATCAGCCATTTGAGGGTTTGAAAGTTCAGTTGAGAGCTGAAGTAAGCACACTGGCAACCTTGACAGTTGGCATGCCTTGAAAGTAACTGTTCTGGGAGACAATACATTGGTGGGGAAAGCTCTGCTTTAAGTAACACTACCCTAGACGTCTTCTATATTAAAATGGAAAATATTGAAAACAAAGCAGGTGTTACTTATAGCAACCAATCATGTGTCTGCAGTTATTCTGCAAACAGAATGCAAAAAGATTTCATTGGTTGATGCTTGTGTAAACCTTTGATAAACAATATGCAATCAAAGCGTACAGTATAGTTGTAATCTTCAGTATTGTGGAACAATGTACAGTACACACACCATTGAATGCAATATCTATATGACCATCAAATAGAAGATCTAAAAATAATGAACAACTTACCTTGTAAATCCACCACAATATCAGAACACTGTGAAAATTCATATACAAAATGTCCGAAAGCCAATCCATACTTGGTAGCTTTATACTGCATTCGTACTGTTTTAGTGTTATTGGTTAATTTGACAAAATCTCCAAGAATGTAAGGTTCCACACTAACACAACTTGTAATGGTTCTGCCATCCATAATCTGAAGGAGCAAAATAGGTCAAAATTCGTGTTACTATATTTGTAACTCCAGAGTTGTTTCCTAAGCTTGGCATCTATTGACAATTTCTGAAATATCGGAGCACATTTTTATGTTCAGAGATCGGAGAACAAATGTTTATGTTCATTAAATGTGCATTGGTGTCACAAATGTGCACTTAAACTTCATTTGCTTAGTTCTGGATAGAGTGGGGAATCATTATGACCTCTGTTAGGTTTGTATTGTAGTTCATGGCCCCTGTTGGGGAGGTTCCCTTTCACTTCCTAATACTAATCAAAAATTACTGCGCTAGGAATGGGTGACTCAAAAACAAACTAAATAGACCAGCAGCAACTATGTGTGTAAGTGAATCTATTGTGTAGCAGATAAGTTGTGCTCGGTCTGATTGTGAATAGGTGTGAAAGTGATCTCTCAAAACCAAAGGGGGGAGATCACCTTCAGATAACAAAATAAAATAAATTAAAAATATTAATATTTTTAATTTGACATCCAGCCGGCGCAGCAGCCAATGAGTGGGATGCCCGCCCCCTCATCACACAGAACTGCTGCGGACACGAAGGGGGAGACAGGGAGCTGGAACTATGAAGGTGACATGGGGTCCGGGAGCGGAAAGCTGGGGACATGAAGGGGGAGATGAGGGGAAGCTGAGGACATGGAAAAGGAGAGTGTGGGGTCCGGGAGCGGAAAGCTGGGGACATGAAGGGGGAGATAATGGGGAGTTGGAGACATGAAAGAGGAGAGTGTTTTTTTCCCCTTGTCTAAATTTTGTTTTAAAAAAAAAAAATCTAATTTTTTTCCTCTTTGGGGGGGGGGGG